AGCAGTGCTGCAGAGTGTCGCTAAAGTTTGGTGCTTGATCCATGCACACTACTACTCCAGTCCACTGGTTATTGCGGTCATTTATAATCAACTTTACCCTATAAGCTCCGAACTGACAGGAGACTGGGCCAGGTTGCCCAAACAGACAGCTGTAATTTTATCCCCGCGCCACTTTGTGACTCTGAGAATTACCCCAACTGACGCTCCGGCGGATGACTTCAGTGCTGCTAATTTTCTATTGCGTGCTTTTTAGACGAAAAATTAGTGCTTCCGTTTTTTGCTTACGGAAATTCCATTTTGTCAGATCATCGACATTTCGGGGATTAAAGTTTTCTTGTTTAAGACATTTCGGCGGAAAGGAAAGGTTTACCATCAAGTCTATCCAGATTTGAACATTGTTTTCACCATAGGCTTGCCAAGTTCACTTACGGCTGAAAAACCTCTAACTGGCTGACCTCAGAACCACCCGTGAGGTATCAAATCAGCGAGGGTGTACGTAGGTTCCGGAAATATGTATTAATAATGACCGATTCTGACCAGGAAAGATAAGAATTCTTTCACTACTACCACTTCTAAGGTCAAGTCCAGAGAAGCAAAGAATGCGATTTTAGTTTAGTTTACTCTAGCCACTCGTAACACTGAGACCATCAAATCAACTAATAGGTGCTAGTGTGTTAAAAGGGGGTGCGATATATCAATGACTGCTCGTCCTACTATCGCTTCTTGTAAGACAAGTTCGGTAAACTTTTATCTGAAAATTAGCCATGTCTGCAAAACAGCTCTATCTATTGCTGCGTTAGTCGCGAAAAAATGAACGCGCTAAACATATGCCCAGCCTGTTCAGAAAAAGCAGGCAATACAAAAACGCTGTTCAGGAATATTGGGTCTCAGTAAATTCGACCTCAGTTTTCATTTGCATGTATGTATTAGATCATAAAGGTCTTGATTTACTAAGCTTATATGATTAAAACGCCATAGACAGGGCATGTATAGTGGAATTTTCATTATTTTTGTTTTCCCATCTTCCTGGTATCATAAAAGGGACTAAGTGACGGTGTTTTTGACTGGACTACTTAAGTTCTTTGAGCATCTGTCATGAGGTCAGTAGTACTTACGGGAGTTGGGAGAAAGTGAGCTAGATGCTACGCAAGTCACCGTCCTTGTAACATCCTGCTGTGGAGTGCACGGTGGATCTTGTCAAAATCGAAGGTCGAACTGTGGACTAGTTGCGTTTGCTTCTCCTTTAATAGGTGTCCCTGACCAGTTTTTCCCGAGGTCTTTTCATACAAGCTGAGGTTTGATACCTCTACCGTTTTAATGCGTTTTGATCTGGTTTAAGCCGTCGATGGAGGACCTGATCAAAAAAATCAGAATAATAACCATATTGTTTCAGCGATGGCATCTTCTATTTCCAGATCTGCTTCCTAGAACTCGTCCCTTTGCTGCCATCGGCAATAAGGATTATGCGTTTACCAGTATAACCACCGCATGGCCCAACATAATTTTGCAAACGCACGCCAGCCATTGGGCTAACACTAGTACTGTCAACGTGGGCACTAAATCGCTACTTTGACCGCTGCCACATAAATGTGCCATGTTTTTGGTCCCGAAGTTCAGAAGACTGTTTGAAGTCATGTGCGACCTTGGATGAAAAATGGTGCCATTTTATGACTTACAGTGGGTATCGTAAATGTTATAAAAGCAGGGTTGATGTGGATAATGAGAAACCAGCTAGAGGTTGTCTATAAGCGAACAAGTTGAATCAATTTAATATGCCAGTTCGCTGTAAAATTTTGGACATCTCGAACTGCAGTCTTTTTTCATTGGAGCCTTTGGTTATGTATCAGCTGGGGTTGTTATGACGGGCTGAGGATGGTTGTTAAGCTAGACTTGGACATTCTATTCTCCCTTGACTTACAGTAATGTTATTTGGAGGTTGTTGTTTTGTTGAAATGTTTAAGGGCAAGCAGCACAACTATATTTAAAATGGAAACTGTTTCTTCACCTTCTATCTATTACACATGCAGAAAGTGAATATGAAGTGTTAATAAATTGCAACTAACACAGCCAAAATAGTCTTCCAGATAGGAGCAAAAAGTTATTTCGGAAAATGTAATCCCTTAACTCATTTGTCTAACTACAACACAATTTTCAGCAGCGGCAGTTTTCAGTAGTCTTCTGGGCTACGACTGGCAGTGAAACCGCATGTATTATTTTGCTATTTTTCACCGTTTTGCTGCACTCCTGGAAAGAAATTAATCTTTCCTAATTTGAAATGTCTTATTGCCCCAAAACGGATAGTGGTGCTTTTTCTGTAAAATCGTAACGCCGCCATCTTCCATCGAACCGAGCATATACACTGGCTTACACAGGTTCTTCCTCCTCGTTTTTCCTAGGTTATGATCGCAGCTTGCGGGACTGGCCACGGTATTCAATGCAAGGCGACCCAGACAATGGGGAGCATGATCTTGTCATTACCGGTGTCACGCGCGAAGATGCGGGCAGCTTCGAGTGTCAGGTCTCCCCTACTGCCGACCAGCCCCCGCTTCGGCGCTCAACAAATCTCTCCGTTCTCGGTAAGTTAATAAACCTTGCTTACGCACATAGCATCAGCTTGGAAAGTAGCAGTGGTAAAGAATAATTGACGCTACAGTCAACACTTTCGTTGTCACTAGCTGCGGCCTTCAGCAGCAGCGGTCACTTGCACGTGAGCTACAGACCCTTAAACGGGCTGCCTGATGAATGTACTGGACCAACACAGGGGCTAGATTAGG